ATATATTTATTTCCAACCAACGTTTAATTCTAAGCAATATTATTTCTGGAATTTATTCCTCAATAATTCAAAGACAATAAATCGTCCAATATTTTACAAGATACATCTAATAGTCATAACAATTGTTCATTATCTGTGGTGAATTAATAAGCATAATGTAAATTACTTTCTATTAAACATGAAATGATAATCTAAACTAAATTTTACTAAATCTAACTACATCATGTTGGGTTCTATTTATATGAAGTGATAAACAATAGTTATTACGCGATTGTTTATCTTCTTATTTATTTGTATGAAAGAGTAATTTAAATTCCGTATTATATTATATTTTGTAATTTTTTGTGATAATGTTACGTAATCTTCATACATTTACCATCTAGTTGCTAATATTCGTTGTTTGTAACTCCTGTATGTGTATCGTTTGTTTGTTTCCATAATTAATTCCATTACAACATATTCACCAATTGTCATGAATACTCCAACTTATCAAATGTATTAAATAACTGTAGTTTATTGATCTAAAACATCTTTTTGTATATTATTTATTTCTGCAGGCTCGAAGGTTTTATGCAGCCAAGTGATGGCACCGATTCGTAATGAAGAAGGAGCAACTTGTATGTTCATCATTAATTTTGAAGATGTTACAAACGCCCCCTATCGCGAAGAGCAACCGGAAATCGGATATTCACTTCGGGAATCTCGTCAACGTAAGTTCAAATAGTGTTAATCTATTTTATTCTTAGAATATCTTGTTGTACTGCATTTTGCACTTACATAAAATTTATCTATTAACAATATATCCTAATTTATTTAAGGAAAATTTCTAGTGTATATTTTTTTTCTTAAGAATTAAACAATTCGTACAATGTTCCAATGCTCGAAGTAGTTTCGACGTTTGGGGTCAATCGTGGTGAGACTCAGGAGCTGGTGTATTCCAAATACCTGTTGTATATTTAATTTTATTTGGGAGGGTAATGTTTTTTTCCTCTTCGTTCTGGGACGAGTAACCTTTCTTCATCATTTCATGTTGACGGTAACTGTACATAGATGATGAATACAACAGCTAAAAGTTGAAAACATTTTATGTTACCTCATGCACATTTCTTTACAGCCAGTCTTTCCACTACTAATTAATTTGTTCAGTTGTGTTTGTTTCTTTTATCTTTTCAGCACTGCCGACACTGCTAAATATTCTCAGTTAATATGAATAACTTCAAAGAAGTAAATATTGTTTCAGAAAAAAAAACATTCACATTATCTTTATTTTCAGTTATTTTAAATACTCACTTTATAGATTTGAAATTACACCATATAAATAACTTACTTTATCTAGGGAATAAACTAAAAAATATCATAAGCCATTTATTCGGAGTGTATTAAAATCCCATTTTACATCTTCTACATTCAAATTTAAATCTTCCTCTTTCCGCTTACAGCATTTTATTCTTGCTTGCTAACAACGGTGTAATGTGTAGACTGAGACAAAAACTAAGAGACTAAAAACATAATATTTATACTTCCTTTTCAATATATATATATGTTTACGTTGTAGGTATAAATATAAAAACTGAAAATGTAGATGCCTTATTTGAATCTTAAATAAAATTTCAAATTATCCATATAAATATATGAGTCTGGAACCTATTTAATTAACTAAAATTAACGATAGGTTGGTTTTTCTAACTACGAAATATAAAAAATATTCAAATTCAGTTTTAATAGTATACTAAAAATAATACGAAATTTAGAAGAGTAAATAAATTTGGCCCACCTTTCAGACTACATTTATTGTTATGAATATAAATATTTAGCTATTATATTTTTAATTAGTCAGAATACTTTACTTTTTAAATTAAAATTTTATTCCAATTATACTTTTTCTTATTATTATAATAGAAATGCAATTTATTTATTTTATTTATTTTTGAACATTGGTAATGTAGTTAGTTTATACATGGAATGTATTATATCTTTGTATGTTTGAAAAGTATATGTATTTAATTTAGAATACTTATTTTCAGTTGAAAAGCGGTATTTGTATGTTTTTTGTTATAGATTCTTAGTAAAACTATTTCCTGAAGAGTGACCTTTGAAGTCACGAAACCGGTAGAAGAAATTAATAACAGAAGGAAAAAAGTCTGATATTTCAGTGTTTTCTTAATATTCCATTATAAATAAGTTTTAAAATAATAAAAAATGGTAGTTGATGACATGTGCATGACTCTTGAACCTACAAAAGAACTGTTAGATCTAACTAAATATGCAACAAGTGAATATATGCAGATAAAAACTAGACAAAATATATTAGAGTACCGTTCTAACAAAACAGAATTTAAAGCTTTTATGTTGCAAACAGTTTTCATACTTGTGCAAATGTCAAGTGCACGCCGTCAATAACCCTTTATATTTCATAGATATACTCGTTCTTAGTTTTTGTTATAAGGGTAAAATGATTTGTCAATAAAAGCTGTGTTGCTTAATCTGAGATAAAATATTTACTTCAGTGGAAAAACAGCGAACTCCGGGTTTTTGTCAGAAATATGAAAGCTAAAACCAGTTGTGAATGCTAAAATCTACAGCGTTTTCTGTTGTCCTTCTTTTACTACCTAAATACCTAACATACAATCTACTTCATGCTACAAGTAGCTATATAAGATATAAGTCATTTTTCCACTAACTAGCATATGGGAACCTAGACCAGCGAGAGTGTTCAAAACTTTTAGCCTGTTATGTTTCTAATGAATTTATTTAATAACTCTTCTTCAGTCATCAACTACAGAAACTTCACGAATAAAGATATGATGTTTTTATAGTTGAAATTAATGTAAACAATGGTTATATATATATATGTATCTGTGTGTGTGTGAAAATGTGTTGCAGTTGCGTGAATGGTTTTGGAAATTCAACTTTTATTAAATCAAATCAAATACACTTTTTACAAATAATGGTAATAAATCTGACAATATATTTTCTAACCTATACTTTTTTATGTAAGATGCTCATTATTTATCACAATTAAATAGTTATAAAAATATTTATGGGTTTTTATAAATTAATAATTTAACGTATTGATCACAAAGACAAATTCTCTGTATTAATAATGTGGTTATATTCACAAATGCCTTCATATATTTCTATATTCTTTGTACACACGCTTGCAGAAGGTTAAGACTATCTTTGCTACATTTAAACACACTCTAAGTTGTTGTCTCGTTGCCAAGGTGAATCACTACCGGGTTTTTATAGCGTTAATTGACGGTATCTGTAGTATCACACTGCCTTGTAAGTTCGTGGTGTTATGAGATTTATTTCTTGATTATATATATATATATATATATATATATATATATATATATA